GGCTCATTACCTGTAGGTGTTGTGAACGACGTGTTCACCGGTGTACTCTATCCCCACATGGTTGCCTTTAGGACACTTATTGTTGAGGAAGCCCCTCTGCAGTGATGTCCGTCCCGATGAAAAATCCTGAAATAGGTTCCTTATAATAGACGTTATTTTTAGGAACGTAAGGTGAGGATAACGGGAATGGGTAATCGGGTTTATTGTGGATTGTTGTAATTAAATATAATTATTGTGGGTTTGAAAACCCTATATGCTCACCAAGCTCCCAAGCCTGACCCACTCAGTTGATTTATTTTACAGGAAGTGGCGCAAGAGCTTAAGATGGGCGAACATCAAGTTGTTTTGTTTACAAGTCTGTATATGTATATATTCGTTGAATGACTTGTAATGCTATCGTTTATGCTTTATGATCTGTATCGGAACATGACATCCCGACTTTTGATTGTGAAATGAAATCATATTTCTTTATGAAATGTTTTGATAAATATCTATTTTATCATGTTTTGTTTTTGGGAACAAATTCTGCATCTCTTTTAAAATTAAAAGGATTTACTCTGAAAATTATTTTAAAAAACATAAATGAAATCGGTCTTTTCTGGCCGAGATTTTGGGGATGTCACATTTAAAGGGGAAGACTTGCGGTTAATTCAGTGCTTTGCTGAATACTTTTGCTTTTCATTTAAGCAAAGACCTAGACACGGATATCACTAAGTTTCAATAACCGTTTATATTGTTTGAGATTATGTTAATATTATCTCAGATTCAACAATAATCCCAATGATTATTGAGGTCTATCAAATAACAAATAACCATATAAGATCATATTGGAGGTAAGATCCTTTTGGTATGTAGACATATATATTTTTTTGAAAAATCTACTTTAAACACCTCACTAGATCTTGCCTAAACATCACTCCCGTAAGTAGATCAATCAGTATCACAAATGGTATTACCGATAAGTCTTATTCATAGTTTCATAATAATGAAAACGAACATAAATTTAAGTTACACTTAAAAGCATAGAAAGTGCCACTCAACTTACAGGGTATTCTAGCAAAAACACAGAAATTCTGCATACAAAACTTCGACACCAAATACTTCTTTTGTCGAGCTTTCCAACATTGTAATGCCTCGCCAAGATGCTCAAAAAACTCAGAAAGTAGACTCTCGAGGCTTAGGAAAATGGTCAAGAGATAAACTTGTGAGTTTTGGAGTGAAATAGAAGTCATATGTAAGTTAAAGAAAAGCATGTTGCACCCATGTGTCATTTTTCTGTGGTGCCACGTCAGATTATGGTTGATGTGGGGTTTCGTCTTTCCAACAATCACGTGACAGCATCTGGTGTTACCACATCATCAGTGGTAAGTAAGGTTTTAGAAAGCTCTTTAATTTCCTGTTATTTCCCTTTTCTTTGAAAAATCGTATATTTCGTGTACGAGTTTCATTTCGAAGTTCTTTATATCCCTTGATTCGTATTTACGTGAACAACAAATTTCATTTAGATTTTATCTACTAATCTGCAATCTATTTTCACTTTCATTTTAAAAAGACCACACTGTGAAAGGATTTGCGAAAGTCATAAGTTCTTTATACGAGCTTTGTTATCGGCGTTCTTTATATTCGGGGATTTGTATTTACGAGGACATTGAATCTTCTTTCCACTACGTTGGTTAAAAAGTAATCTATCTTCGTTTTGTATTTGATGACAAATACTAATGTATATTGTATCGAATGCGACACTTCGAAAAATTACAACTTGTTCATACGACATCAGATTTTGAAATTCTTTATACTCTCATGTTCTTAATCACGATTACCACCAACTTTCATATAGATTATTTATCCAAAATAACATTTTAATTATAAATGTTATTTATTACTCTTTGCTACATTATAACTGTATTTTATACAAATATTATATCACCGTAATATTTATTGATTTAAGAAATACATAATTGAAATTAGAAAGAAGAAAAGGAAATATAAAGTTTCCACATGAAATGTTATGAAGAAGGATCTTTGAAATTTTATAACTCAATATTTGAAGGCATTGAGAACTGACTCAATGAAAGAAAGTTGGAGTGTGGTCGAAAAAAAAAATACAGACGAAATTTAATATTAATTTCATATAGATTATTTATCCAAAATAACATTTTAATTATAAATGTTATTTATTAATTTTTGCTACATTTATAACTGTACTATATACAAATATTATATCACCGTAATATTTATTGATTTAAGAAATACATAATTGAAATTAGAAAAGAAGGAAAGGAAATATAAAGTTTCCGCATGAAATGTTATGAACAAGGATCTTTGAAATTTTATAACTCAATATTTGGAGGCATTGAGAACTGGCTCAATGAAAGAAAGTTGGAGTGTACTCGAAAAAAAAAAAAAAAAAAGACAAAATTTCATATTAATTGAAATTAAAATAAAGTAGTTATGGTTGTTTGAAAGTAGATTATTTAAGGTTTAAAAGTGGAAAAAATGGGTATAGACCCAGATTCTTGGTTTAGTAATTCAAACTTGGGAAAAGCTTTAAGGAAAAATGCTCCCAAGTGCAGATGGATAGTCGGAAGCTGTTCGACACCGGCTAAGATCCCAGGGTGGCTTAACTACGACAACTTTGTTCGTCACAAACCTTCCAGAAGGAGTAAGAAAAGAGACGCTGATGAAACTTTTTGGAAAATATGGGACGATTAGTGATATATACTGCGCAAGGAAAATGGATTCAAGTGGGAGATGGTTTGCATTTATCAGATTCACCGGAGTAAAATATGCGTCAGACATGGAAGCTAGGTTACAAGGAATCTCATGTATGGGGAGAATATTGATGATAAATATTGCAAAGTTTGAGAGAAAGGAGATAAACAAGAACATTTAAAGGGGAAGACTTGCGGTTAATTCAGTGCTTTGCTGAATACTTTTGCTTTTCATTTAAGCAAAGACCTAGACACGGATATCACTAAGTTTCAATAACCGTTTATATTGTTTGAGATTATGTTAATATTATCTCAGATTCAACAATAATCCCAATGATTATTGAGGTCTATCAAATAACAAATAACCATATAAGATCATATTGGAGGTAAGATCCTTTTGGTATGTAGACATATATATTTTTTTGAAAAATCTACTCTAAACACCTCACTAGATCTTGCCTAGACATCACTCCCGTAAGTAGATCAATCAGTATCACAAATGGTATTACCGATAAGTCTTATTCATAGTTTCATAATAATGAAAACGAACATAAATTTAAGTTACACTTAAAAGCATAGAAAGTGCCACTCAACTTACAGGGTATTCTAGCAAAAACACAGAAATTCTGCATACAAAACTTCGACACCAAATACTTCTTTTGTCGAGCTTTCCAACATTGTAATGCCTCGCCAAGATGCTCAAAAACTCAGAAAGTAGACTCTCGAGGGCTTAGGAAAATGGTCAAGAGATAAACTTGTGAGTTTTGGAGTGAAATAGAAGTCATATGTAAGTTAAAGAAAAGCATGTTGCACCCATGTGTCATTTTTCTGTGGTGCCACGTCAGATTATGGTTGATGTGGGGTTTCGTCTTTCCAACAATCACGTGACAGCATCTGGTGTTACCACATCATCAGTGGTAAGTAAGGTTTTAGAAAGCTCTTTAATTTCCTGTTATTTTCCCTTTTCTTTGAAAAATCGTATATTTCGTGTACGAGTTTCATTTCGAAGTTCTTTATATCCCTTGATTCGTATTTACGTGAACAACAAATTTCATTTAGATTTTATCTACTAATCTGCAATCTATTTTCACTTTCATTTTAAAAAGACCACACTGTGAAAGGATTTGCGAAAGTCATAAGTTCTTTATACGAGCTTTGTTATCGGCGTTCTTTATATTCGGGGATTTGTATTTACGAGGACATTGAATCTTCTTTCCACTACGTTGGTTAAAAAGTAATCTATCTTCGTTTTGTATTTGATGACAAATACTAATGTATATTGTATCGAATGCGACACTTCGAAAAATTACAACTTGTTCATACGACATCAGATTTTGAAATTCTTTATACTCTCATGTTCTTAATCACGATTACCACCAACTTTCATATAGATTATTTATCCAAAATAACATTTTAATTATAAATGTTATTTATTACTCTTTGCTACATTTATAACTGTATTTTATACAAATATTATATCACCGTAATATTTATTGATTTAAGAAATACATAATTGAAATTAGAAAAGAAGAAAAGGAAATATAAAGTTTCCACATGAAATGTTATGAAGAAGGATCTTTGAAATTTTATAACTCAATATTTGAAGGCATTGAGAACTGACTCAATGAAAGAAAGTTGGAGTGTGGTCGAAAAAAAAAATACAGACGAAATTTAATATTAATTTCATATAGATTATTTATCCAAAATAACATTTTAATTATAAATGTTATTTATTAATTTTTGCTACATTTATAACTGTACTATATACAAATATTATATCACCCTAATATTTATTGATTTAAGAAATACATAATTGAAATTAGAAAAGAAGGAAAGGAAATATAAAGTTTCCGCATGAAATGTTATGAACAAGGATCTTTGAAATTTTATAACTCAATATTTGGAGGCATTGAGAACTGACTCAATGAAAGAAAGTTGGAGTGTACTCGAAAAAAAAAAAAAAAAAGACAAAATTTCATATTAATTGAAATTAAAATAAAGTAGTTATGGTTGTTTGAAAGTAGATTATTTAAGGTTTAAAAGTGGAAAAAATGGGTATAGACCCAGATTCTTGGTTTAGTAATTCAAACTTGGGAAAAGCTTTAAGGAAAAATGCTCCCAAGTGCAGATGGATAGTCGGAAGCTGTTCGACACCGGCTAAGATCCCAGGGTGGCTTAACTACGACAACTTTGTTCGTCACAAACCTTCCAGAAGGAGTAAGAAAAGAGACGCTGATGAAACTTTTTGGAAAATATGGGACGATTAGTGATATATACTGCGCAAGGAAAATGGATTCAAGTGGGAGATGGTTTGCATTTATCAGATTCACCGGAGTAAAATATGCGTCAGACATGGAAGCTAGGTTACAAGGAATCTCATGTATGGGGAGAATATTGATGATAAATATTGCAAAGTTTGAGAGAAAGGAGATAAACAAGAACAAGAGGGAGGTTCCAGCCGCAAGGAGATTCCAGGAAGTACAAAGAGCCCCAAATGACGCTTGGAGGGACGGAAGAACCTTTGCTATTGTGGCAGCCGGATTTCCCTCCCTCCCCCCTCCTCAGCCTCCTACCTTAAGCTCTTCACCGATTCAGCTTCGATCATGTACCTTCATGGAGTACTGGCTGAAAAGTGAATTAACACTTGTCGGTGAAGTCAGAAGCTATACTCATCTGACAAGTTTACCAGATTCAATTTTTAATAGAGAAGATGGAAGATACAAAGCAAAATACCTAGGTGGACTAAAAATTGGTATTAGATTCAGAAATCCCTCCGATGTGAGGAATTTCATGGAGGATAAGGAATTTTGGAGACTATGGTTCAAATGGATTGATAGGGGGGATAAGGTAGATATAAAAGAAGATAGGATCGCTTGGCTTAAAGTGGTTGGATTGCCCATACATCTGTGGGACGAAGGAAACTTGAGAGCAATAACCCGGAAGCTAGGTGTGATCTCTAAGTCGATGGAGATAAGCATGTCAAAGATTGATGTGTCATATATGAAGATCTGTGTCATTACTACGTCTCTAAAGAGAATAAGTGAAGAGATCATAGTTGCTGTAGACAACAGAATATTCAAAATTGGAGTATACAAGATTGATGATGATTGGAAGCCATTTTCGACTCACAATTATGACAATGATTCTGAATATGAAGATGAAGACGATGAGGATGCCATCTCCAATACAATGATTGTTGATGATGAGAATAAGTCTGATGACATGAGGGAGACGTTAGAAGAAGGCGAAATAGATTCAGAATTTGATTCGGAACGAGTCCCTGGATCCTAGTTCGAAGGTAATGTTCAGGAAGACATAGAAGTTGATTCTCCGATGGTGGTGCCGACAGGCATTCCCGGTGGTGAAGGAGTCAAGGAAAGCATTAATGACAGGAGATTGGGAAATCTGCATGAGGAATTGGGTCAGAATGAGGAAGACCAACAGCCACAAAGTAATGAGAATCCTCAAAAGCTGGTAGACATGACGGAGGGTGGTGACATGGCTGAAGACGTGGAGCCTGGGACCCCACAAATGTCCATTGGGAAAATACGTGAATTACTACCAGAAGGTGGGTTTGGATCGTTCCCAAATTTGGGCCTTATGGTGACTGAGGAATCTGGAAATGGATCCAAACGGATCATATTTAAAACGTAGGTAGGTCCGTCAAACAGCATGCCCCTTAGATGATATAAATTTATGCCCTACATATATAAACGATCAAATAAATTATTAGGCTCCAGGTATTGATTTGAGATGCTCATCCTCTCTCGATCTTAACCGAACCCCTTTCAACGCTCCTTACACATCTCAAACGACTAGACCACCAACCATTCCCTGTATCTCAGAACTTGAAAAAACTGCTGAAGTTGGTCGATTAATTGGATTCGAAATAAATGGAGACAATGAAGTTTTGGCGGAAATCACTGCGGTGGATGGAGAGCACGTTGATGATCAATGAAGATACTGTCGATTAACATAAGGGGAATGGGAGAGCAGTACAAACTCGATTGGGTAAGGAAGTTAAGGCAAGATAATAAAGTGGCATTAATAGGTATTCAGGAAACTCAACTTCAACAGGGGATAAATGAATTAACTATCACATCGGGATGGGGGGACGAAAATTTTGGCTTTGATTGTGTTGAAGCAAGTGGCAGGTCGGGGGGCATCCTTACCATATGGGATAAGTCCTTCTCCTTTACAGAATTAGTCAAATCTTGATTCTTTTTGGCGAACTTTGGAATTTGTTAGGGCTCGGTTATGAGCATTGCCATTGTAAATGTATATGCTCCACAATCTATAACAGAGAAGCGAAACCTCTGGGAGAAATTGCTACAGTTAATGAGAACAAAGCAGACGATGTGGATATTCATGGGGGATTTCAGTGTTGTAAGAAGCAGAGATGAAAGGATCAACTCCAATTTTTGCAGTATCACAACCCGAGATTTCAATAGGTTCATTCAGGAGGGTGGACTTCATGAATTAAAAATGGGAGGTTCCAAGTTCACATATTATCAAAATGTCGGCGCTAAACTTAGCAAATTGGATAGAATTCTTGTATGTGCGGAATTTGTATCAAAGTTCCCGCAAGCCTCATGTTTGGCTCTCCCCAGGGAACAATCCGATCATTTCCCAATCCTTCTTGAATTAAGTTCGTTGGATTTTGGGCCTACTCCATTCAGACTTTTCAATTCATGGATCCTCCAACCAGGGTTTAATGAAGTTATGCTCAGGGCCATCTCTGAATTTAGCAAATACGGTGCACCAGACCTTTATTTTCTCAATAAGTTGAAGTTCTTAAAAAATAGAATTAGAAGCTGGAGGTCGATGGAACACCCAAAGGTGGTTATAGAGATAACGAAGACAAAAGAAAGATTGATTGAATTGGATAAAAAGGCTGAAAGAAATTGTGTACAGGGATCCGAAATCAAAGAATGGGTTGGATTATCAAGTAAACTTTCAGAATTGGAGAAAATGATGGACCTGAGACAAAAATCAAGAATAAAATGGTTAACAGATGGGGATGAAAACACCAAATTTTTCCACGGATTCGTTAATAATCGAGAAAGAACCATATAAACGGCCTCTTGATAAACGGTAGGTGGTTGAGTCAACCAGAGGAGATTAAAGATGAAGTTTTTAAGTTTTTCTCATCAAAATTTCAGGAGAAATGGAAGGCAAGAGCGGAATTGAGAAGCAACAAATTCAAAAAGCTCTCTCCTACCAGCAGTGAGTTTTTGGAAGGTAGTATATCAATTGATAAAGTGAAAACGGATGTGTGGGCATGCGGGAATGATAAGGCTCCAGGGCCGGATGATTTTACCTTCGTTTATAATATTAGCGGATAAGGTCAAAGACCCGTTATCCCTTGGGGATTACAGGCCTATTAGTCTTATTGGTTCATTATACAAAATAATCGCAAAGATCTTAGCATCAAGAATCAGATTGGTGATGGGGGAATGTATAGATGAAGTTCAAACGACATTTGTGGAAGGACGAAATATTCTTGAAGGACCTCTTATTATTAATGAAATGTGTACATGGGGGAAGAAGATCAATAAGAAGATTTTACTCTTCAAAGCAGCTTTTAATAAAGCTTTTGATTCGGTGAATTGGAAATTTTTAGATTCCATGATGAAGCAAATGAATTTTGGGATAAAGTGGAGGACTTGGATGTTAGGATGTTTGGAGTCGGCTAGGGCTTCGATATTGGTAAATGGTAGCCCAACTGCGTAGTTTCAACTTGAAAAAGGAGTACGGTAGGGAGACCCTCTTTCGCCATTTCTTTTTATATTGGCTATGGAAGGGTTGAATATTGCATTAAAGGAAGCAGTGGCTAAAGGTGTCTTTCAAGGTATTTCTATTCCAAATTCTGATATTAAGTTGTCACATCTATTTTACGCTGATGACACACTTTTCATTGGCGAATGGTCGAGACAAAATATAAAGAACCTTGCAAGGATACTTAAATGCTTTCAAGTGTCTTCCGGATTAAGTGTTAATTTTAATAAATCGAAAGTGTTTGGCATATGTGTAAATTCTCAAGAGGTTGAAAATTGGGCATCACCGTTAGGATGTCAGCCTACTATATTGCCATTCATTTACCCTGGAATGCCAGTGGGGATGAGTATGAACAGGAAAAGTTCTTGGAATCCGATACTTGAAAAACTTAGGAATAAACTTTCTAGTTGGAAATCAAAGACATTGAGCTTTGGTGGGAGGGTGACTCTTGCAAAGGCACTTTTAGGTAATCTCCCCACTTTCTACTTATCACTATTTGCTGCACCATTGGGGATCATTGAGACGTTAGAGAAAATAAGGAGAAACTTCATATGGGGTGGTCTAGGAAATGAATCAAAAATTAAATGGGTTGCCTGGGACAAAATGTTGGCGCCTAAGGAGGTGGGTGGATTAGGTCTCGGCTCTATAAGGGCATTAAACATCGCTTTATTAACAAAATGGAGGTGGAGATTTTTCAATGAATGGGACTCATTATGGGTGAAGATAATAAATGGTCTACACAATCTCGGTTTATCTCCGCCAGGCCGGTTGTCTTCCAGGTACCGAGGTGGAGTATGGCGGAACATTGACAAATGTAAAAACTCTTTTGTTAAGTTAAATATTGCAGAGAAAGATGTTATTCGACGGAAACAGGAGGGCTCTGGATGGGATTCCGACTTCGTGGTTGATGGAAAATTTAGTGTCGCAGCATTAAGAGGAAGGATCGAGCAGGCTGGTCGTTGGATACCTTATGGCGCCTTCACATGGTGTAACTGGATTCCGAACAAAGTGAGTTGTTTCGTATGGAGAGCAAAGATGGATCGGATTCCAAGAGTGAACGCTCTTGTTATGTGAGGAGTCCAAGTGCAGGCCTTAAACTGTAGTGCTTGTATCTCAGATATTGAATCCACATATCATATGCTGGTCACTTGCCCGTTTGCAGATTCAATTTGGAACCCGAATATGGAGTTGGTGTGGCATCATACCTAGTCAATTTTTCAGTGTTAAGGAGATCTTAAATTTTGAAGATGAACGTAGACATCCCCCAAAAATGAGAAGAACAATGAACGCAATCATTTTCGGCGCATTATAGTGTATTTGGAAAACAAGAAATGATAGAATCTTCAATGAAAAGTTTACCAACCCAGATATGGTGTTTGAAGGAGTAAAATTCATGGTCTATGTATGGCTTAAACATAGATATGGGAAAGGAAATTTTATATGGGGGGAATGGTCAAAATCCCCGTTCTCTTTTTTGTAACTGTAGTGTAATACGTTTGACTCTTACTAGTAACTTCATAGTGAGTATCTATTAATAAAATTGCCGGTTTCATAAAAAAGTAATTCAAACTTGGGAAACAATTAGCAAATGAATTGTAAAGAGATTTTTATAGTGTGTGAAAAGATTTATTACGATATAAAGATCATAGAAAATGGAATATGGATGAAGAAACTATCACATTTACAAAACTAAAAAAAAAAAAAAAGTAAGACTTGAAGAAAAATGACTAAGGTATGGAAAAGGCTCAATAATGGTTTGTAAACTGTTTCAAATGCGTATAAAAGAGGCATAGACCAAGAATGGGTTGTAAACTAAGAATTTTTTTTTATCGCAACTAATTAACTCCATTACCTATGATTTGACGGGCAGAACACACTAATTTGACTTCATATGAACCCTCAAACACACCGATTACGGATCAGTTAATGACATTTTTTTCTCAAAAACTTCTCTAGAGATATGTGTGCATTCTTGGTGTTTGGAGTGTGTGATTTCAAGAAAAAAAAAAGGAGATAGATCAAGGGGATTTCATTATTAAACACTAGAGACAAAGGTATGATGCAATTATCTTTCATTTATATTGTCTTAATTCAAGTGTAGTTGATGATTGTAAGAACCCTAATTGATAGGGTTTAGTCAAGTTAACAAATTGTTCATATATAATCACTCTTGGGACATGTATTAGTACATCATTAAATGAGAATCATGATTAATTGAAGTTTTCACATGAATTTGGTTACGAAACACGTAACCAATGCACAACCTATAAAGTATAACTTGCGTGATGTTGGATTATTGGACATTAAACTATAACCATGATATGATTAGTGTATGATTACTAATAATTAGCAAGTTTCATGATAGATTAAAATGAGAATATGAGATTAGTATTATACCAACGGTGGATGTTTAACACAAATATGTCACATCTTTTGAAAAGTTTATTTATTGGTTACTAATTTCATATAATGAGATAGTTTCAAATTCGTATTATTATAATCAACACATTTAA